TTAAAAATGGAGAGCTTCACCCTAAATTACTTCCCAAATTACCTAACATGCTATTTTGGCCACTTGTGGATGCAAAATACTCGTTATTTATTACATCAAGCTATCTGCAGTAGTTAATTATATCTTGAAGTAGGTTTTGTAGTTTAACTAAAATTTATGTACTTTTATATTACAATCGTAAATAAATTTACTAGTTAATAAGTATTTCTGTGAAGAATTAAAAGATTTTTTCACTGTTAATTTATGCTTTTATCCCAATTGAAACAAACTGGAGATAGGATGGACTATTGATAGCAGTTGAATTTGATATTTGGCAATATTTATTAGATTTCTATTTCATGAGACACATTTTCACTCATTTCATCATTTCATTTATCAACCTCCCCTCTTCAAGTTTCACAAGATCTTAATTTTAAATAGATAATACAGTACGTTAAGTTTTAAATTACATATACACATTACAGGGTGTTTCAAAAAGGTATGTCATAAATTAAATCACAGGGTTTAAGTTTCCGGGATTCCGGGACAAAAGTAAATTGATTGAATCCAACTTTACTTAGTACAAAAAGTGTACACAAAAAAAGTTACAGCCCTTTGATGTTACAAAATAAAAATTGATTTTTTGCATTTTCTCCTAAACTACTTGATATTTTGTAATAAAATTGGACACGTTACTTTCTTGTTCTGTTCAAGTCAAATGAATTTTGTGGCATCATTAGTTTAACACATTATTTTTAAAACCCTTTTGCTTTTTATCACTTTTTTGAAAACCTAGTTTTTTCCTACTTGGCCATAAAATTACATTTAGTTTCTATGGATACAATAATTACAAACAGTTCTATCAATAATTGTCAATAATTTGAAGCTATCATTTATTGTGTGAATAAGATTAATATTAAAAATTTTGATATTAGAATGGCCTACACATTTCAAGAAATGGCAGATTTTCCTTTGGGTGAGTTGGATCGGATTAAATTATGATTTCAATAAACTATTGGGAATATCGTAGGAATGTCAAGGAAATAGTGCAGCAGCCGCAGAGCGTTATGCAGTAAAATACCCCAATCGAAATACACCCGATCGACGATTATTTCTGACCACTTATCGTCGTTTACGGAAAACGGGTAAATTCCAACCGCAAGTTGCTGGCAATAGTGGTTGTTGCAGTTTCGCAACTGTATAGTTTCTATTCTCCTCGTATATTTTAAACCAGATTTGAGTGTAAGTGACACAGCCGTTTTAAGGGCTAAAGATTGCAAGGCGGGTAATCTGCGAAATATCACCACATGTGTGTGTACCTAAAATAAAGGTTTGCATTCCATACACAACCAGAGTCGAGCAGTATCTCTCAAACGATGAACATGTGTATGTGAAGACGAAGAGTACCTGATTCCGCATCGGCCAAGAAAGACGCTAATGTGCATCACAAACTTGGGTATTATAGTTGAAGTGTCGCTGAAGACACAATTTGCGATAGCGTTGGGGCTATCTTTTTCATGGGGTAAGGAACAATACACCATATTAATTTGTTGCTGCATATATCAAGTACGTTGACTTGGTATATTTATTTGATATATGTTTGGAACTTCATCGCATTTGTGCCGCCATCGCGAGTGAACATTGTAAATTGGACATTTTGCATTTGTTTCGGTTTATTTACTGTATTGTATATTTATTTTTGTATTTGGTTAACACCGATTTTATTTCTTGTATGTTTTGTTTTAATAATTGTACGTATTAATTATTTGTATGCACCGCATTTTTAATTTGTTTTTACACGTTAAAATATTATATCCTTATTTAGGTTGATTTTTTTGGTAAGATTATTAATTTGGCTTTTATCTTTTTATGTATAGTATGTTTGCGGCTATGGTAGGTTTTGTCTTTTGTTTTGTCAGTGGTTTTTTATAGAATCGACATTTTTGTTTTGGTTGGCTTATGGTTGTCTTTTGGTATGTCGTTTCGTATTGCGTAATTTTAAGTTTGTATATTCTTCTTTAATTATAATGGTATATTTGGTTATGTATATTTATGTTTAATTTTACAGCTTTTTAAAATAGAGTTTTATATAGTCCGCTGCCTTTCATTTCTCTTCTTTTATTTAAATATACATACCCATTTCGAAAGGGGGAAACCAGCGAGTTTTAGATTGAACAGAATATCTCTCCCCCTTCAGGATGACCTTAATTGTTATATTGAGGTCATCGTATGTGCAGAACGCAACAGTGATCGTCCAATAATGGATGCAACTGATGAAGACATTTTAGAAATCATTAAAGAAGTCCCTATAACAATTACAAGGGTAAAAGCTGCTCAACTAAATGTTCCTCACGTAAGGGTTTGGAGACGTTTGAAGGATCAGCTGCTTAAACCCTATCATTTAACAACGCAACGGTTCAAGAGTTATTGGTTAAAGATTATCCTAAAAGGATTGGATTTTGCAATTGGTTGTTAATGGAGAACACTCGAAATGTTAATTTTATTAGAAATATTTTGTTAACCGACGAGGCTACCTTCAGTAGAAATAGAATAACAAACCATCATAACGATCACATTTGGGCTGACGAAAATCCTCACGCCAAAAAAGCGACTCATTACCAAAGCACTTTCAAAGGTAATGTTTAGGCAATAATTGTGGATAACAATCTAATAGGCCCAGTATTTCTTCCCAAAAATTTAAATGGTTATAATTATTTACAGTTCTTGGCAAAAGATTTACAACGTATTTATGTATTTGGAAGAAGTGAACATTGCAATAAGGCAAAATATGTGGATTCTACAAGATGGCGCTTCACCGCATTACAGCACCTGGTCGGTGAAATGGAAGGGGTCGTGACGCACCTATTTCATGACCACTAGAAGACCAGGTCTTAACTCCATGAACTTTTGCTTTTAGTGGTTTATGAAAGAGAAAATGTATTCGTTAACAGTAGAGGACGAACAAAAATTGAGTAAGTTGGATTTAATCAATTTTTTTTTGTCCCCGGGATGCGTGATTTAATTAATGACATACCTTTTTGAAACACCCTGTATAAATGGCAAAACTGCGCGCCCTCGACTTTCCACGAACATCCGTTGCTCTGTCGCCAAATTTATTTTTGTAAACAATATGTCTGTTTGTACTCCCGCAGGAAAGTAGGTAAAAAAACGCAAGGTAAAATTAGGAGTAGGTATTTTTTCATTTATTCGTCATCTAGTAACCCCCACCTATGTCTTACTTAAAAGCTTCAGACATCTGCGAAACATTTTGCCGTGAAATCGATGATTTTTGCATAACCAGACTGGGTGATAGTATGAAGCTCTACAGCAGGGGTGCTCAAACGGTCGATCGCGAGTGCTTTTTGGGTAGATCTCGAGAAGAAAAAAAAATTTAATAAGTAGGTAGGTAACTAAACTACTGTCAGCAGAGTTAAACGTTTTTATTAATACTGAACTATACAAATACATAGAATGCTTGACTAAGCACCATTGGAATTCAAAGAAGTGGGGACAACAAAATACTGTCCACACAGCATATTTTATATTTACATATATTAACTAATTATTTTATTAATTCAATATTTATTATAATTATTAATCAAATTTGGGATGATATTCTATCAACTACAAAAGTGTATTACGTAATAAAATAACACTGCTTGCGGCAAAAGGTGGCTTTATCAAAGGAACGCGCGGCACTTGTCAAAGAAAAGCCGTGTTGTTTCTAGACGAGAGACAGTACAGTCTAGTTTCGGGCGGCGCGTTTGACAGAAACATTCGAGACTTTCGTTCACGCCGATATAAATGTTGCGCCTGCAGGAATTGGAGTTATTCTGAACTATAACTTGATAGCGATCCTACGTCGATACAAAGTTTATTATTAAATGGTGGAAAATGAGTGCAGTGAAGAAATCTAAAACGTATCATTTTAATAAGGATTGGAAGGAAGAATTTTTCTTTTCTATGGTGAAGGATAAGTGCATTTGTGTTATTTGTCGTGCGTCAGTTGCAATACCTAAGCGTGGTAACTTCGAGAGGCATCATAAAAAGGTTCACAAAAACTATAAAAAGGATTTTCCGCCACAGAGTGAATTAAGAAAACGAAAAGTAAGTGATTTGATATCTTGTTTGAAAAAAGAACAATCCATGTTCACAAGACCAGCCAAACAATCAAAAGCTGATACGATCGCGTCATTTAAAATATCTCATATTTTGGCGAAACACAAGAAACCATTTGAAGATGAATCGGTGGTGAAGGAGGCATTTATTGAAGCGGGTGAGACTTTATTTGAAGATTTTAAAAATAAAACAGAAATCATGTCTGCTATTAGAGAACTTCAGTTATCTCGTCCGACTGTCACAAGGCGTATTGAAGTCATGAGTCAAGACATCGCAGATAAACTAAAACATGATATCATGGAATGTACATACTTTTCTTTACAGTTCGACGAATCCATCGATATGACAGACACTGCCCAGCTGTGTATTTTTATTCGGATGGTATTCAATGACATGTTGGCTAAGGAAGAATTTTTGACAATCATTCCTCTGAAGGGGAAGACCCGTGGCGAAGATATATATGATGTTTTCTTAAATTTTGTAAAAAACTACGAGCTACCAATATATAAATTAATGTGCATTACAACCAATGGAGCACCAGCAATGACTGGAAACAAAAACGGTTTTGTGGCATTGTGTCCAGCTAATGAAGAATTCCCTTCATTTTTTTTTTTTTTCATTCCATTGCATTATACATCAACAAGTTTTGTGTTCAAAAGTTTTAAACACGGAGGAAATTATGGGCATTGCAACAAAAATTGTAAATTCCATCCGTGCACGTAGCTTGCAATGGCGGCTCTTTCAGTTGCAGTTGGAAGATAGGGAGTCAGCTGAACACACTGATTTAGTTCTTCACACGGACGTCAGGTGGTTGAATCGCGGAAATTCCTAGAAAGGTTTCAAGAATTATTGCCCGAAATAACAGCTTTTTTAGACGAATGAGGTGATGACACTCAGATTTTGAAAAACGAAAAATGGCTAAATGATTTGGCATTTTTGACTGACATCACAATGCACTTAAACACCGTTAACTTGGAGCTTCAAGGTAAAGGAAAAACTATTATTGAGATGATTAGCGCAGTAAACGCATTCAAAAATAAATTGCAACTTATGATAGATCAGCTGAAAAGAAAGTATCTGATACGTATGAGGCTGAATTATCAAATATTTTGGAACAATTCGAAATGCGTTTTTATGATTGCAGTAAATTGGAAAATATAGCATTATTTATGAGTTATCCTTTTTCATGTAAAAACATTGAGGAATTAGCTACTGAAATAGCAAGTCAGTTTAATATGAACTCATGTTCTGTTGAAAATGAGTTGGTGCAGATTATATCAGATATACATCTCAAAGCTACAGTATCTGATACAAATTTCTGGCGTTTTATATCTGAAGATAAATATCCGAATGTAAGGCAAATCGCCATTCAACTGACGGCATTTTTTGGGTCAACTTACTTGTGCGAGTCTGCATTTTCTGAAATAAAGATAATTAAGTCAAAATATCGCAATCGACTAACTGACGATCATAGGACATCATGCTTGCGATTAGCACTCAGTGGTTACGTACCATCTTATGAAAAGTATGCTGAGGACATGCAGTGCCACGCTTCAACATCCAAAGCCACTCCTTAGTTAAGTTTAACACCATATGTAACTCTTTTGTTTTGTAACAACAAATAAACTCGCAATTTTAAATAACTATGAGTTTTTTCATTGATATTGTAGAGAAGAACCTAACTAAATCTAACTCAAACCTTGACTAAAATAATGTACCTATATTGTGCAGAAAGCTAATATCTATATATGCTACGGTACGCCCTACCTAGGTAGGTAGGGTGTATCGTGTATGTACGACAACCCTGCATCACACACACTTGCAGTCTCTCAGAGTAGATCGTAAGTAGTCTAAAAATATTGAGGTAGATCGCCAGCAGTTCAAGTTTGAGCACCCCTGCTCTACAGTGCAGATTACCATTTTTTTTTATTTTGTATTTATGTATATCAATTTAAATTATAATTAGAGGTAATATTTACACACATTTCATGTTTTTTCTGTTTTTAGAATTTGAATAAATAAATATGCTTTTAATGATTAGATGGCTAAAGTAATTAAACGTATTATAATAAAGCCGCCAGATGGTAAAAAGCACGACTTAATTATAAAACATTTATTTCCAGTTAATAAAGCACAAGCTGTTTATTTCACTCCAATGCGTTAAAAGTTTATATTCCAAGGTTTGATGAATTTTGTCGATGTGCTCTACTAATTAGTCAAGCTAGTGTTAATTCAAAACATCTGAAGTAAAGTTTGGAACTGTAAAAGCTTTTAATTACTGTTTTCGTATTTTACATCAATATGCTAAGTAATTTCAAAAGCGCCGAATAAAATATTTTCAAAAAGAAATATTTCAAAAGTATCTGTAATTTTTTACATTAGCATTTAAAAATAACATAATATCTAGATATCGTCGGTCTAATTAGTAATTTTTTTTTTATTTGTGTGTGAGATCTGGATTATGCAATCTAGTTTAAATCAAAATATTCTATATGTCATACTTCATCAGCTGATTTTTTCAGTAGTAGTTCTAGTTGGACCTTTGACCAATGACAACTTATACAGAATTTTAATATGCGCTGATCACAGATCCATAACTTTGACTGCCTATGAAAGTTGTCATATGTCACATGTCACCGTATCATTTGCGCTTAGATCATTATCCCTCCAGATACTGACAAAGGATGTAGCGTAGAATCTTTAAAGTAATTTTAAACGGTTTGTCCTCGTTTTAGTGTAGTGTTTTGTACAATTTTATGTTATTATTAATGTTTCCACATGTTACGCTTGCCGGATAGTTTATATTTTGACGAAGTAAGTCTAAAACGTTAATCTCAAAAACTTTTTTTCGTCCATTAACTTCGAGTTTTTTATCGAAGTTAACTAATTTCCTTCATCTAAAAAACGTTTTCTTGGCTTATTTCAGATGCCCCTGAAGATGCTATTTTAAGCGAAAGTACTTGGGCTAGATTTAATTAACTTGTGCTCGATAATAGCCTTATTTTTCAAAGTTCATTTATTCGAGCATTCAACCTCATTTCAATTCAATTAATAATTAGTAAAACTCCCATTTCTTGCTACTTTAGAGAAATCGAGAAGAACTGTTTTTCAAATTTTTTTCGGATTTTGAAATAAAACAAACTTCTATTTTGGATAGTATTTTGCTAGTTTCTTTCGACAAGTTAAATATATATTGTGATTTCCTCTTTTATTTAACACATTCCGTGTGGATGGCATACATGTGAGCCACAAGGTGCATTTACCAATATGCGGACGGCGCGCATGTATGCCACCGATTATACACATTTTTAATATGTGTTTGATTTAATATGATTTAAATTTACTATTAGGTTGTTGGATAAAGTATTATTTACTTATAATTACATTGGTTTTAGAATACACCGACAAATGAAATATCTATCATCAAATAAAATAATGGTTGTGCCGCGTAATATTTTAAGAAATAAATTTTTAAGTATATAAGACATTGTATGTATAAGGCTATTCCACGAATATACGACTGTTTGTTTTGGTTTACTGCGACAACGAATATTTTACTGTGCAAGTAGAAGTATGAAGGTCAATTGGTCTAATTATTATTCCAATAAAAAGGGTCTACTAGTATGACATCTAAACTAAAATTATTTCAGTTAAAATCTACAAATAAATACAATCACAACTATGAAGCCAAATGTGTTCATCAGACATTTGGGTAAGCTTTCCGTGAAATGTAAACACCAAAGAGGCGTGCCGGGTTTCTTTGATATAACACATTTTATTACTTTATTAGGTATTACAACTGTAATAAAAAGAAATATACTATTTTTAATATAAATGAAAAGAAATTGGCAGAACGATGGTTCACAAACCAGAAAAAGGATCTAATATTTCAGTTTGTTAGTTTTAAATATTTGTTTGCTTTGAGTTTATGTACTCTTAAAAGTTTCGAAAGTAACGGGTATAACATACCGGCTATTGATAGTTAAAGTACCGAGTCGTTACAGATATTAAAAAGTAACGAAAATTTATATACAGTTTCATATATCGCCGACTGATTATGGCTGTGAATCTGATCGTTGATGATAGTTTTAGAAGATTAAGAGAATAAGTGAATAAGTTTTTTTGTTTTTTTAATATTAATTGAATATTCGACTAAAAAATTTACACTATTTGTTCACTTAAGTATTGTTACATTTCGTTTAAATCACATAATTCAAAAACCACCTAGTTTACAATGAAATAATTGAAATGAAAAAATAAACTCCATGATGTAATTATATACTTCAAATTCTGAATTACAACTGTTCTATAAACTATTAACTTTATATTTATATCATGACTTCATATTTAAATCAAAAGTTTATAGGTATCTGTGGTAACAGTATTTTAAAAATGGGGAGAATTTACTATTGTGCAATTCAGTACATTGGACCATTTAAATCGACACCAAAACAGTCGTATATTCGTGGAATGGAGTATTATCTTAAATGATGTATATGCCAGACGAGAATTCACTTATGAATAAAAAAAGGTTGAAATTTGAAATTACTTATGCTCTTCAGATCGAAGTTAGTGTAAAATGGTCCATGAAACTAGTCGAGTACCCAAATATTTTTAAAATCGTCATTATAAAAATATGAGTGACTTGGAGGCAGGTCCGTCGCGGCCTAAAATTTATAAATCAAGTAAAGTATTTGAGAAAAAATCAAACAATTTTAGTGAAGAGGAACTATTACAAATGTTACTAGAAAGTGATAGTGAGATAGACGAGTTTGAACTTGGTTATGTTTCTTACAAACCTAGTGACGAGGAAAGTTCTGATGATGACTTAAGTAACCGTTACTCCTAAAAAAAACAAATAAAGTTAAGAGTCTGGAATGAAACTTAATGTTACATGAAGTCCATTCCATTTACGCTAGCACAGAATTTTCTTGTGGACATGGGTGAGGATAAAAATGCATTTGATTTCTTCTGTCTACTGTTTGATGATGAATTAGTGCAACTTATAGTTAATCAAACGAACATATATGCGGAAAGTGAATTTACATTAAAAAGTAGTTATCAAAAATCTCGCATATCTTCGTGGAAACCTGTGACTGCTGAAGAATTGCGTTGTTTTATTGGTTTGTTGTTTCACACTAAAACAATAAAGTGTTCAAGATTGCCAGATTATTGGAGAACTCATAGATTATTTAGTTTGTGTTTTGGACAATATATGAGTAGAGATCGTTTTCTAGCCATCTTAAGGTACTTGCATTTCTCTCCCCCAACAGAAAGTCCTGTAAATGATCGGCTATATAAAATCCGACCCATTGTTGATTATTTTAATGAAAAAATGAATAAAATCTATTACCCTGGAAAAAACTTATCTTTGGATGAATCCATTGTCCTGTGGTACTTACCACATTTACTTTACCTTTACCTTTACATTACCTTTAAAAATTGGTATATACACGGGTCAAATGGATGAACTGGCAGGATCAGGGCATACCGAAAAAGTCGTCATCATACATCTAATGACAGAAAAATAAACGTGGGACATTCTTTGTTCATGGATAATTTTTATAATAGTACAAATTTGGCATAAATTTTGCTTCAAAATAACACGAACTGTACCGGTACTATACGAAAATATAGAAAAGATCTGCCACAAGATGTGGTTTCGGTATCTCTCAAGAAAGGAGAAACTATAGCAAGATACTCAAATGACGTAATGGTGGGAGCATGGAAAGACAAAAGAATTATCTATTATATGTCTACCGAATTTAAAAATAAGTTTGCGTGAATGTTAATGAACTAAAAATATTTAGGCTTGGACAACCAGCACAAGGTAAAAATCGTCCGATCAAGATTACACTTAAAGATGAAAATGACGTCTCAGCATTAATCAGACAATTAAAGATTCCAAAATTGTCATCTATAGCCATGTGTCAATTTCATATGACCGTACGAAAAAAGAAATTGCATACTACAAACAACTAAAGGAATAATTAGAAGCTAAGAACGCTAACAATACAGGACAATTTAGAATTAAATACTTGGATGACATTCCAAAAATTGTTCCTTGAAACAGAAAGGTCCCAACAGTTCCACAAGCCAAGATCTTCAAGTTTACTATCAGAATGTGCGTGGTTTAAATTCCAAAGTAATTGATTTTTACTCTAGTGTTAGTGAATGTGACTTTGATGTCATTGTTCTAACTGAGACTTGGCTACACTCTGATGTTATTAGTTCGGAATTGTTTAATGATGACTATCAGATTTTCACAAAAGACCGAAAGTTCGATGTAGTTAATAAATCGACTGGTGGAGGTGTACTGTTGGCACTTAAGTCAAATTTTGAGTGTCTTGTTGTTGATGTCTCAACAGTTGATTTACATTTTCCACAAGTTGATTTGTTGGTTGTTGAGTGTCGCACAGGAAATAAAATGTTTTATGTTGCAGTAGTATATATTCCTGGCAAATTAAAGTTAAATGACTTTTAATATTTTTTTTGAAATGTTAAGGCAACTTGAATTATTTAATGATACTTTTATTCTCCTGGGTTACTTTAGCATTTCAAAGTATATTGATTAACT